GAGGTATTTTCAAACAGTATGGATATATCATCCCCTTACGTTTATATATGTGTCTGGTTATGAATAGTCAGCACATAATATGGTTAAGCTCAAGAAAAAAGGGAAGTTTCTTTCTAAGCCTGCATCCTAGCAGTAGAAATTTGAATATATATATATATATAATTAGTTGAATTATAAAGAAAATTATGTGACTATACATTTTAATATTTCTAAAATATACCCACATATGCCAATCTATTGTAAGAAAATGTTCACAGAGGAAAAACAATGTAAATTCTGAGAAGCTTTAGATAGATTCTAATGATTGGAAATAAGTATTACAAATAGTCTACATTTTAATGTGACTTCTAGAATTTTTCAGAAGTCATAGTATCTTCTCACACTGTTATGCTACTTGCTTACAACATACACTTGGGTCACGTTTTCCTGTTAGGAAAGATCATACAAATGATCTGTGATCATATTTACCACATGGGGATCTTGGTGGCCATGATAAGGAATTTGGACTTTACTCTGATTACATGGGAAACCACTAGAGAATTTTAGCCAGTGAAGTAGCATGATCTTATTTATGCCTTTAAAAGATTAATTTTTTAGTTAATTGAAGGGAGGCAAAGGTGGAAATAGGAAGACCAGTTAGGAAACTATTTGATTGTTCAGGAAAACGGTGCTGCTGGGTGCGTGGACTGTAATAATTGCGAAGGAGATGGAGAGAAGTGAATGGACTGAGATGGAACTCAAAGAACTTGTTGATGGTTAAATGAGTTGGTAGGAGTTAGAGAAAGTGAAGTGACACAGATGACTTAAAAGTTTTTGACTTAAGTATCTTAGTAGATGGTGATACAATTTTCAGAGATAGAGAAGAATTTAGAAAGAACAGGTTTTTTCTGACATTACTCAAGAGTTCTGTGTTAGGATTGAAATACGTATTAGAGACCAAGTGAAGATGTCGAAGAGGCTTGAGTGGAATCTGAAGTTCAATGGAGAGGCACCTCAGACTGAAGATGGAAATTTGGAGCCATCAACATATAGATGAAATTTAAAGCCATGAGACTTGATGAGATTCCCTCTGCAGGAAAAAAAAAGTTGGAAGAGGGGAGGGAAAATTGTGACAGGACAATATTTATGGGTCAGGCAGAGGAAGAGAAGCTAATAAAGGAGACCAGGAAAGAACAGTCAGTGACCTAGAAGGGACACCAAGTGGATCAGGCATCCTGGAAGCTAAACCAAAGAGCATATTTTTAAAAGACAGTAATGTGCTGGGTCAAATGCATCTGAGAAGTTAAGTAATATAAAAAATGAGAAGGGACTATTGGATTTGACATGAACAGGTTTAGTGGAATGGAAGAATTAGAAGTAAAACCGAAGTAGATTCAGAATAGGTGAAATTAGGAAGTAGAGACAGCCATTCAGACAGGAACTTAAAATTTCCAGGAATAGAAATTTCTGGGAACACAACCCCTAAGAAGCCAAAAATAGAGTATACTTTCCTCGTAAGTTTTTAATTCTTTTTTGGTGGTGTTCTTTAGAAAGAGAAATGTCTTGTTGGGATTATTGTTTGAAATAGTGTTGGTGGCCTAACCATTTCTGGCTTCTATAGATCCCCTTTTTGTACATGCTTATTGCCTTAAAAAAAAAAAAAAACTAGATTTTCTAATTTAGGGGTAATAGCAAACCAAACTCATTTGTAATCCTGTTGGTCACACACTATTTTGATTGCTCTTCAGTGGCACCAGCGGCTGCTAGAAAGTTCATTTTACACACACACACACACACACACACACACACACACACAGCATTTGCTGCAGATTATAAGCTTGAATTATAAACTCAAATTATGTACTTGAGCCCTGGATCTTCCTTGCCTCATCTACCCAAAGGTATATGTCAACCTTCTTAATTTATATCCACCAGAAAGTAGAGGAGCAAGGTGGAAATTGTGTGGCAGTTCTGTCCCTCCCCATTTCCCCCCGACTCCTGGCCTCAGCACAATAAATACTGTGTTCAGAACTTGGCTAACTGCTTCTTTTTTCACATTCGATCAGGGAATACTTAGAGCCATGCAGTGTCTCTTTTCTGCCAAAAAGCCTATGGGGCAAGGTACCCCTTCAGGCTGACACAAAGACATACTGTGCAAGGCATCTATGCCCAGTGAAGTGGCCATGTATGGATTATCAATAAGGCTTTTGACTTTTTTATGTATGTCATATTGTCATCACAGTAACTAGAATTCAAACATGGAAACAAAATTTATCTATGTATATATATATATACATAGATACTTTTCAGTTTAAACATATTCCTGCCAGAAAAATGTCATAAAACTATTTTTTCGTACCTGGTATAACTTTCCATTTTAAATAATGTTGTGTGATTTGATTACAGTTTTGACTCTCATTTAACTGTCCATTTTTTAAATTCTAACTAAAGTTAGATTTAAAGTTCAGTGCCCATAAATAATAATTCTCGATAGAACCAAGAACTACAGGAGGCATAACAAAAAGGGCAAAGTTCAGAAAACTAAGCATCAGATAGGTACCTTACTGCCCAAGGACATGTCTAGATAGACTGTCACCTTAACCACCTTCATTCACTTTCTAGTAGAGCTTCTATTTTCTACTGAAAAATAGTTTCTGGAACCACTTCCATGTTGGCCAAAAGATAATGTCAACAATTCCTTTCCAATATTGGCCTTTAGAAAGTGAATCTAAAATGTTTGAGTGAAGTATGTGAGGGGAGCTGCATCACAGTTTTCTGTTTTACTACATACAAATGTGACAGATAAATCAGTAAAATGTATGCATGTTTCTGCTAAGACTGCTTGTTATTAATTTAAAAAGAGTTTGTTAGAATAAAAGGTCAGAAGTAAACATATTACAGATATTTATTGAGAGTCTGCTGAGAGTTGGAAGAGATAAAATGAGGTTGCTACTTTCAACAGATTTACAATCTAATTGAGGGAGCAACTACATAAACATATGCAAAGCAAACAATGCAAGATACAGCATAAGACATAATTAACTATCCGATGAGTGACATATATAATAAATACCATTAATTCACAGGCAATCATTATGAGAAGCACTTACCTTACTACATGCCAGGCATTCTGCTCGGCACTTCACATATATTATTTTATCTTTTGAAATATTATTTCTACTTTACAGATGGGAATTGCCCCTGATCTTCTCCCCATTCTGGAGAAAGCAAGGAGAATGGTATAAGGTAGACAAAGATGTAATGTCAGGAATGTGCCAGGTGGTGAGCAGACACATTGGTCTGGGGCAAAGGATCCATTTAAGGGAATAGAGGGAAATGAACCCTGGGGCCAGCATTAGTCTGTTCACCACCATATCCCAGTGCCTAGTAAAGTGCCTTGCACATAATAGGTGCTCAATAATATGTCTTGAAAAAACAAATGCCTTCTGGTCTGTACCTGTAACTCAGACCAAGTACCATGGAATAAAAGTAATTCGTGAATTAAAGCCACATACCACATAGCCTCAGGACCCATCCCCAAGACCTCCCAATTCCCAACTATGACAATAAAGGATTGAAGTGGAAAAGATACATCATTAGGGGAAAAACAATAGCAATTCCAGCTCACTGAGGTCTATTTCATGGAATCTGACATGGTGAGCAGTTTGTAAGCTCATCCCAGGTTACAAGACCCTGCAACTTCTGGCCTCTTGCACCGGAAGAGTCACCTCTTCTCTTCTCTTCTTCCCTCACTCTCTCTCTTCCTGCCACATACACCTCCTTTGTACTTCTCACACCCATTTCAGGACTATATTCTTGCTTCATTTTGCCTGGAATGTTCTTCCACAAAACATCTGTGCAGCTCATTACCATACTTTCCGATCTATAAGAGCCACCCTCCCCACATCTTTCCAGCTGTGTTTAATACAAACATTCATTAAAACATTATAATACACGTTTGTTTACTTATGTGTTTGTCCCCATACACACTGGAACCAGGAAGGGAACTCCATCTGTTCTTTTCACCATTGAATCCCCAAGTCTAGGAAGGCAGAATTCCATCTGCTCTTTTCACCATTGAATCCCCAGCAATTAGGACAGTGCCTGGCACTTTGTAAGTACTTACATACAGCAACTTTAACTCAGGATAACTTTTTTTTAGCTCTCAAATGCCTACTTCCAAGAGAATAAAATTTGTTCAAGAAATGTTGGATGGAAATTGAAGTGTGAGCTTGGAAACGAGAGGCAGAGTGGCAGGAGCCCAGATCAACCTGTTTATGAAAGACGCCTTTGCCCATAGATGGAAAAATACACCTTAAAATCTCTACCAAAGTATATGCTTTCTTAGGACACCTCTGACATGCTGAATACTGCTTGGTCTGAATAAGAAGATCTATGAATTTGCCAAAACAGCTAATTCCTAGGACTTAAGTGCCACTACTAGTAAACAGGTACCAAGCAATGAGTACCATATGTCAGTATCAAAAGACAAACATGCTGCTGCATGCAAAACCAGACAAATGATTTATGCAGGTGACAGGGAGTGGAAGAAATTAATCCAATTTTTATTATTTTTCCCTTATCAAACACTAGCAAGGGACTAGATATCATAAACCTAGTTAAAATATGTTGACTTTGCTTCAGATTTGAGTATTCATGGTTCTAGAAGGAGATTTGTTATAGGATCTGATGATGTACTTTAGAATATTCTTTTGTGCAAATTGAGACTTCAGAGACCATGAAATATAGGGTAAATTCAAAGTAATAATATAAGTAAAATCATAATCCCTTACAACATTTTTTGAAAGTAAAATATTTAGTAATTTTACAAATATGTATTGAGTACTCTCTATATTTAAGGAACTATGCTAATGCTGTAATGGATCAAAAGGAGAATGAACCATGATCCTTACCTTCAGACTTCAAGCTTATTATTCATTGTCCAATTAGATAACTAATATATCAGACATGGAATATTAAGTACCACTGTTCAGATATTAAAAATGAAATCTGTGTTGTAGAAACACAAAGAATGCAGACATTGATTCCAACTGGGAGAAAGAAAAAGTGCTCCATAAAGAAGACACTCAGATTGACCTTGAAAGGTGGGTGGTTTTGCACAAGATTAGAAGGTTGGAAGTCTTTATTTGTAGGACTTGACAATTTTTGTCATGTAAATATTCCCACTGTGGCTGATTTCAAGTTGATAACGTGATGCAACTGAATGTAGAATTGGGAATAGAAGGTGGCTCCAGCATACTACCTATGAGTCACCATCTGAGCTCCAGACTTAATTAAATCATCCTTACTATTGTTTTGAATGAGTGAATTCACAGGTCTTAAAAGCATCTATGACAACATTGTAAGGGAAGAGATAGACCCTTCTGTCATTCTCCCTTACATCTTCATCTAACCTTCTAATAGTATCTTTGAATATCCTTTCAATCTGTCATATGCTCCTGGCTGGCCTACCTAAGATTAATCTTGGCCTAGTGCCAAACTGTGATTCTGTTTATTCCTTTTAGCATTGCTGATTAATCTGTGGCCCTGTTATCACATGGCATTAGAAGACTCTCTTAGTGATTATGGCCTGGTGTTGACACCTCTGCTGTTCTCTATAATGAAAAGTAGCTTTTGGGGTGGCTAGCTGGGCAAGATGTTTCACTGCTCTTTTAACAGCAGGAAGGAAAAGTTGGAGGAATTACTGGGAAGCTTTACAGAAGGAAGACACAGGCCAGCTGAGAGCCAGCATTCATATTAACTGCTCCTCTCAGTAGTCTTTGTATAAACACCACCACCAATGTATTCCCTGGACGTCACGACTGCACCTTTAACTGGCCTTATCATGCTAGGAGATACATTTGAAAAGCCAGACTCTAGTATCTGTCTGTAATTGGAAGCAGACGTCTCAGCATATGCATAAGCTTATGTCAGGAGGATGTTTATGAAAAACTCACCAAGCAGAGCACTGCTAGGCAGGAAATAAATATGTGAAGCTTGAAGTTATTAGGAAACCCCCACATTCGTCCCTCTAAGCCACAGGTAGAACCTGTGAGAAAAGAAAGTCTTTATCATTGCACATTGATTCTTGTTACCTTGAAGCCCTGCTACTCTCAAAATACATTTATAGCAAAATGTGGCTGATGGTTATTTAAACATGTGCTTTTATTAATGACACTGGTTTCTCTTCCAAATTTGTTATCTGTTGTTTATCCGTAAAGCATTAAAAAGTATTTGAAACAACCAGCACCATTTCACAGTTCCTGTTTTATTTGTTTAAATTGTCTAGCTCATATAATATGCTGTATGATTTACTGTTCCGGTATAAAAGAAATACACTCACTCATGGAGATGTGAGGAGGTAATACTGTCTATTGGAAAGGCTCAGAGATTTCCTGTTTAGATTACACAGGCTTCTTTAGAGCTGCCAAGAGTAATAACATGTAGGAGATAATACACTTTGGTTCAGGGGAAACTATGGATGGGAATTCAATTAATTCACTGAGCCACAAAAGAAAGGAAATTCCAGCTTAGAACTGTCACTGCATTCAGACCTGGTGGACTTGGTATGCTGAGGGGTAGCCATGACCCAAAAGAGGATTGCAGCCTGACAACCCGCTGAGCAGTATCCAACGACAGAACAAAAGGAAGGGACCTGGCTGCTCACTTGGTTCTTTGAGAATTGATCCCCAAAGGGTATTACTGCCCAAAGCCTCAGCAACCTGGCTTCATCAATATAAATTTGCAGAATGCTTGTGACACTGAGATAAATCAAATCAGTATGTACTTTAGCAAGTACCTCCTCATGAGTACCAACTATGGTACATAGTGAGGAGCCCTAGAAGCAGAGCCCTGCAGAGAATATGGTGACTCTGACCAGAGCAACAAAGTATAGCAAAAAGTTTCCTAAACATATTTTGTGTCTTGTCATAAGAATCACCTGGCACAAGTGGCGTGGAAGGGCAAGGTAAGCATACACATTCCCAGGACCTTTCCAAAATGTAGAGTGACTAGGGACCTAGAGGTTCAGACTCTGTCACTCTGGGCCAGGGCCCTAGACTTGGTATGGTTAATAAATGTCTCAGAGATCTTGATGATCAGGCAAGTCTGGGGAACAGTGGGGTGGGATGGGGTCAGAATCTGGCTCCAGGTCACATTTGGGATCTACCATGTGATTGTTGGGTACCCTTAAACAAGTTACTTAACTTCTCTGAGCCTCAGATCCCTCATCTGCAAAACATAACCCATTTCAGGGGGTTGTTTTGAAGGTAAAATGAGAAAATACATAAAATGTACTTAGCCTCTCCAGAAGCAGCAAGATGGTGTACAGCATGGCATCAGTGTGGTCAAACAATGAGCTTGAACTTGATCCTTATTGCAAGGGCAGATTGGAGGGAGATAAGGACTCTAAACTGAATACTCTTTGGTGGTAGTAATCATAGTTTGACAGAAAGGAAGCACCGAAAGGCAAAGGTGGGTCTGGAAAGAGCTTTAGAGGTTGAGATCCGGGCAGAGAAAATTTCTGGAATATGGTCAAGGATAAATAGACTTCAATAAGAGAATTGACTATTTTTATTTGATTCCTTTTTAGCCCAAAAGCCAAAGTTAAAAGATTTGAAATTCATTTTTTCTTGCCTTATTTATTTAGCAAACTTTATTATTCTACTAGGTACCATACCATGTGCTTATTATAGAGGTTACACAGAAGAAAGCTGCAATACCCTCCCAAGGAAATTATTGGGTACCACTGGTCACAGGCAAATGTGTGATTTTTATAAGGGCTGCTGGGTGGAGGGCAACTAAGCTGCCTGAGGGAGAAAGAAAAAGCTCTCAGAGGAAGTCTTTAAATTAAAATTCCATGACCATTACAACATCACCATGATCATTATCATTATCATAACCACAGCTAACAGTAATAACAATTGCTGACATTATCCAACGCTTATTTTATGCCAGATGCTGTGTGACGCCCTTTATATGCATTATCTCCTGTAATTGTATAGAATTGTTACTGTATATGGTATTATGTTTACTTGCGTTTGCACTGTCTATTCAGGGGTGGTTCTAAATGCCACTGCTACACAACTGGTGAATTGTGATTCTTGCCAGAACATTGATTCTCCTACTCTTGCTACATTAATAACACACTAGAGAACTGGGATTGGCAGCATTTAGTCTCAGGCTGAATCATTGACATAAGCAGATTTCCATCCCCTACTCTACTGATACCACTTTGCCAAACACCCTTAGAGAACAGAACCCACTGCCTACATACAGCCTGCACAGGGATGGCCGGAATAGTCTTGCTGGGTTTATCACAACATCCCGTTTTCACATTAGCAAAACCTTAAGTGTACAAAGAACTTGAAACATTGTCAGGTTCTCCATAGGAAAACACAGGCCCCTGTTTTCAAGGTGGTGGCTAGCAATAATAACAGTGACAAAAACAGTAACAATGATAAAGCACGTATAACATTTACTAATCACAAATTGTATTGTAAACTAAATGATTTGAATGTGCTAACTGATTTAAACCTTAGATAGATAGATAGATAGATAGATAGATAGATAGATAGATAGATACTTCACTGTCCCCATTTTTTAAAGCTTTTTTTAAATATATATACTTCAAGTTCTGGGATACATGTGCAGAATGTGCAGGTTTGTTACATATGTACACATGTGCCATGGTGGTTTGCTGCACCCATCAACCCATCATCTATATTAGATTTATCTAATTCTATCCCTCCCCTAGCACCCCACCTTCTAATAGGCCCCAGTGTGTGATGTTCCCCTCCCTGTGTACATGTGTTCTCACTGTTCAACTCCTACTTATGAGTGAGAACATGCGATGTTTGGTTTTCTGTTCCTATGTTAGTTTGCTGGGAATGATGGTTTCCGGCTTCATCTATGTCTCTGGAAAGGACATGAACATGAACTCATCCTTCTTTATGGCTGCATAGTATTACATGGTGTATATGTGCCACATTTTCTTTATCCAGTCTATCATTGATGGGCATTTGGGTTGGTTCCAAGTCTTTGCTATTATGAATAGTGCTGCAATAAACATATGTGTGTGTGTCTTTATAATAGTATGATTGATAATTCTTTGGGTATATACCCAGTAATGGAATTGATGTATCAATTGGTATTTCTGGTTCTAGATCCTTGAGGAATCGCCATGCTGTCTTTCCACAATGGTGGAACTAATCTACACTCCCATCAACAGTGTAAAAGTGTTCTTATTTCTCCACAACCTCACTAGCATCTGTTGTTTCCTGAGTTTTTAGTGATCACCATTCTAACTGGCATGAGATAGTATGTCAATGTAGTTTTGTATTGTAGTTTGTATTTCTCTAATGACCAGTGATGAACATTTTTCATATATTTGTTGGCTGCATAAATGTCTTCTTTTGAGAAGTGTCTGTTCATATCCTTTGCCCACTTTTTGATGGGATTGTTTAAATTTGTTTAAGTTCCTTGTAGATTGTTGATATTAGCCCTTTGTCAGATGGATAGATTGCAAAGATTTTCTCCCATTCTGTAGGTTGCCTGTTCACTCCGATGAAATGTTCTTTTGATGTGCAGAAGCTCTTTAGTTCAATTAGACCCCATTTGTCAATTTTGGCTTTTGCTGCCATTGCTTTTGGTGTTTCAGTCATGAAGTTCTTGCCTGTGCCTATGTCCTGAATGCTATTGTCTAGGTTTACTTCTAGGGTTTTTATGGTTTTAGGTCTTATGTATAAGACTTTAATCTGTCTTGAGTTAATTATTATATAAGGTGTAAGAAAGGGGTCCTGTTTCAGTTTTCTGTATATGGCTAGCCAGTTTTCCCAACACTATTTATTAAATAGGGAATCCTTTTCCCATTGCTTGTTTTCATCAGGTTTGTCAAAGATCAGATGGTAATAGAAGTGTGGTGTTATTTCTGAGGCCTGTGTTCTGTTCCATTGGTCTATATATCTGCCTTTGTACCAGTACCATGCTGTTTTGGTTACTGTAGCCTTGTAGAATAGTTTGAAGTCAGCTGACATGATGCCTCCTGCTTTGTTCTTTTTTCCCATATTCAAATGAAAATGCAGAGATCACCTGCCTTCTGTGGTGATCTCGCTGGGAGCTACAGACTGGAACTTTTCCTATTTGGCCATCTTGCCAGCTCCTTACTATTCCCCTTTTAAAGACAGATTAGCCAAGGCCCAGCTGTGTGCTTCTGTTGGGAAGTTGAGTACAAGGTTGGGTGTAAGTAGGGAAAGTTCAACTGCAGTCAGTTCTAGTCTTGGTAAGGCCACTATGAGGAACTCCACGTCAAAGCATAGCAAATTAGTAGTTCCCCAGTATTTTCAGAATCAAAATTAAGTTCTTTGTCAAGGTTCTCCCTGATGTGCTCCTGCTTCTTCCCTAATTCAACACATCCCCAGCTCCATCCATGCACTCCCAACAGATCACAGCTCTTTACATGCCCAGGCTGAGTCTTCTGCACCTTTGTACCTTCTGCACCTTTGTTTCCTTGACCCCAACTGCCCTTCCTTTTCCTCTACATTACCCTTTATCCTCAATTTAGCATCTGTCTCAAGGAGTCTCCTTCCCCAGGAAGTTTGTCCAGATTTGTTAATAGGTATTCCATTTTTCCTCCAGTGCTTGACCACTTCTTCTTTATAGATCCCTGCCCAGAAAAATGTGGGCTCACTGATGCCAGGGGCTGCAGCTAGTTTATTTTATAACCCAGAATTTAAAAGCACCTATTTGTTGATTTATTGGGAATAGTTCATAAATTAAATCTTTGCAGATCATAACCAAGACCACAGTTCATGATGGTTTCATTATTTCTTGTTACTATTGGATATGATTCTCTGCTGTCTTCCCTTACTGCTCAGCACCTCTAGACATTAGGTACATGGCTCTGATACTAATTAAAATTGATGACTGAGAATGACATTTCCATTTGTTAAGCCAGCATAGTTTTGTTCATTGTGATTTACTTTTTAACCAGCACCCTCTCAGCACTAGCACAAAGCTGTGGTCTTTCCATGAGGGTACTATTTGTTCCTTTTATGTCTTGATTCATTACCTATTGTCAGGAGCATTAGCTAAGACTTTCTGCTTTGCGAAAATGTCACCAAATGCACAATAAAGGCAAAGTTACCAGATGTCTGTTCACTAGAAAAATTAAATGCTGGTTTGTGAAGATTCAAGGCTGGCCAGGGCTCCCCAAGTGTTTCCAGGCCTGAGCTTTGGCTCTGCATTCTCCTTAGGGTCTCATAACTGACCTCCACATTCCAGTTCTGCCATCGTGGAAAAATTCGTCAACTTTACTGCGGATGTTAGGCCTGGAAACTGTCATCCATTAGTTTTCTCAGATTCAAGTTGAAAATTGAGACAAACTTCCTATGTAATTTTGACCAAAATAACACATATGTTTATGTGCTATCCCATACTTAACATATTTTTAAAACCACTTTATGGAGGCGTGGTTGGCATACAAAAATCTGTAAATATTTAATGTGCACAGCTTCTTGAATTTGGAGATAAGTATACATCCACGAAATTTTTACTGCATGTATGCCGTAAACCTATCACCTTCAGAAGTTTACCTTCACTCTCTGTTATTATTTTGATTAACTTAATTTTCTTCTTCCTTTGAACTATCAAAACTTTCTCAAGTAATACATAGTTGTCACTTATGTAAACTTATTGAAACCTGATCAAAAGTTTTATTTTACTGCTCAACTTACAGAAAGAAGCAATGAAACCTTTAAAGTATTCTCTGATTTGTAGCAAGGATCCATGATGGTGGTGGGAATTGTTCTAGATCAGATTCCAGCTTGGTTCTGTATGTTTCAGGGAGGCAGGAGTTACAGGCAAAGACATAAATCAGTACATGGAAAGTATTCATTGGTTTGGCCTGAAAATGCAGGATGTCTTCAAGTGGGGACTTGCAGGTCATAGTTTGGTTCAGAGATTCTTTAATCTGCAGTTGGTTAAAGGAACAAAACTTTGCACAAAAGCTTAGAGTTAGCATAAAGAAATATTTAAATTAAAATAAGAATGCTATATCAGAGTCAGCCACAAAATGACCTGTTTAGCAAGCTTTATGGCCTACGGGTATGACTTAACCCTTGCCTTGCATAGCCTAAGGTCTAGTTTCTAATTGGTATCTTATTGCCCAAAAAGTCTATTTGGTCAATCTTATGATCTCTATTTTATCATTAATGCTGGTCACTTGTGCCTAAATTCCAAAGGGGAGGTGTATCTGACCTCCCTTCCCATTGTGGCCAGGAACCCAGGTTTGCAGGTTTCTCTGGCGTCTCCTTGGCCAAGGAAGGGTCCATTCAGTTGGTTGAGGGAACTTAGGATTTTATTTTTAGTTTACACGGGCCACATCAGATTGTTTTGACAGGGATGACTAATGGTTTTCTTCTCTTTCTGTTTCAGCCACAGCAGCTATCCTTAGCAGAGTATCCCAGAGTCTGCTAAGTGTTAATCCAGGCCTAAAGACAAGTAAGAATTTCAGTCCTTTTTCTTCCTTCAATGATATTTTTCATGTTTTAGTGTAATTAAGCTACTACCTTTTCTCTATCTTATTTGCATTATTAGTAACTGGAATAGTGACTGAATTGAAATTTTACAGGCAAACAAAACATTTTTGGTTTTGGTTTTTAACTTCTGATACAGTTTGGATGTATGTCCCTTCCAAATCTCATGTATTCCTCAGTGTTGGAGGTAGAGCCTGGGAGGAGATGTTTGGGTCATGTGATCAGATTCCTCATGAATGGTTTAGTACCGTCCTCTTTGGACCGTCCTCACCACAGTGAGTGAGTTCTCATGAGATCTGGTAGTTTAAAAGTGTGTGGCACCTCCCCCTTCAATCTCTTGCTCCCACTCTCGCCCTGTGAGACAGTGGCTCCCCCTTCACCATGATTGTAGGCTTCCTGAGGGCTTCCCCAGAAGCAGATGCTAATACAGCCTGCAGAACTTTGAGCCGCTTAAGTCACTTTTCTTTATACCCAGCCTCAGGTATGTTTTATAGCAATGAAAACAAACTTCTCTGCAAGGCTGCTTTTTTCTGTTTCTGCTTATACTTGGAGGTTAAGTAAGGCCAAATTAATGAAGGAGGAAAAAAGAGGAAATGATACATCATGGATCAACAATTATTTATTGAATTTAGGAAACTGCCTCTTTTACAAATTCTTTTTAAAATTATTATCATTATGATCTTGAAGTATTTATCTAATGATTATCCTGGTAGAAAGTTAAACTCATCTTTCCAACCAAATTGCCTTAAGCTTCAAAATTATGCCGTCCTGTAAGGTGTCTCTTCCCCTTAAAGTAACTTTACACTTTCCCCCTAGTCTTTTGACAATCTTCCGAACCACAAGACCAAGCCCCAACATCAACTCTGTGAGGAAGCCTCTCCAAATTCTCTAGGCCTGAACAATTTTCTGCCTTCTCTGCTTCCATTGAACTTTGTCCTTTACTACATGACAGCGTTTACCTCCTGACATTTTAGTGTGTGTGTCAGCCCTGCATATACAACTCACCAGATTGTGTGGGCTGCATGAATGAATTAATTCTATTGAACTTTTAGGCAAAGCCTAAATTTTATGTTTCTTCTGAATCCCTTACATCTCCTTTAAAAAATTAAACAAGTAGTAAGTACTTGTTTAATTATATTTTGGGGATGTTTATTTTTCATCAGTGGAAGTATATGCTAAAGTCCATATTATGCAATAAGGGAAGGGAAGACAGTGTGCCTAATTCAGTTAAGATATTGCTATTCTTGTTGGTAATTCTGGTGTCATGAAATCATACTTTGAATTTTATGACTAAATTGCAGAATAAATTTCTAATGTGAGATTTAAACATTAGTTCCTTGGAGATGACCAAAAAGAAGGGTTGGTACTGTTTTTAACAACTGTCATTCAATTGTCAGTTGTGCCAGACCACAATCCTTTATAGCTTTCCTATTTAAGAAGCATCTGACATGTTAAGCTGCTCTCTAATTAACACAAGAGTTGTAAAAGAAGTGGCTGTTTGGTTGTGTTTGGATTATCTCAGCCAGTATATTCCAAAGCCTTTCTTCATTCAACAGATGAGTGATCTGTTTTATATTCTGTAAGGAAATGAGAAGGAAACAGTTAAAAATGTGTTACCTATGGTACATGGTTCACTTTGAAACCATCCTCCAGACACAAACATAATACTTTGCCCTCCACTGTCCCCTAAAGTGGCAATAGGATTTCTCTGAGTCACTTCCTTTATTAGGTCACAGGGTCTAAAGAAGCGTAAACATTGTACCTTGTTGAGATAGAACCTCTAGGTATGGAGGATGTGTTGAACAACTTCCTCCCAGTCATTTGGCACATGTTGATTTCCTGTCTTCGTGATAAGTAAGGTGACTAGCTAATTATCATTGATATATGGTAAATCACAAAGACACTGACTTCCCCTGTCCTTCCAGCTGTTTCTTATCAAAAGTCACCTACTCTCTGTCCCAGGAATGATTGGCTGAAGTAACCTGTATCAACGGATGTGTCTGTAACAGTGGACACCTCATAGTACACATGCTTGAACATATTACAAGCATCACATCCAGATGTCACAGACACAAGTGCTCACATAACCTCACTCTGTCACTGTGTACATTGTTACCATTTCACAAATATTTAACAGTCTGCTGCTTACTCAACCTTTAGCTTTGTACCCTGAGGGAGACAGAGTAAGATACTGCTCTGACATCAAGCAGCTCACATTCTCCCTAAAAAGATAATTTCACATGAAAAGTTATGTTTAACATGAAATGCCCTGAGAATACACAATTAATTATAACTTACACATTTCCTACATGTACTTTTCTAAGTTCTCAGATTCAAAACAAAACCCCATGTAAGAAAAATGAAATAAAAACCCTGTCAGGACAAATTCTGGCCAGAACTGACCAAACAAAAAAAAAATAAATGCCACTCCCCTTTCCAGGCCACCTTTAGTTTATCCTTGGCCTACTGCAGTGACCCTTTAGCAGCTGTCTCCCTCCTCTCTCCTTCCACCCCCTGCCCTATCTCTCCTTCTACCCCCTGTCCTATCTCTCCTTCCTCGCATCCATCTTCCCCAGCCAACAACCATTTTCTTATGTTCTAAGTAACTATCTTTAGTGCTCTCCCTACTACCTAAGCATTAAGCTTCAAACCTTTCCCAAGACCCTGAACACCCACCCCAGCTTGTAAGTTTAAGCTACTTACCATTCCCCAGGCACACTGTATCTTCCCTCTTCTGGTACACTGCTCATGTCATCAAATCTATCTTCCTCCCACCCACCCTGCATTCAGTAAATATAAATCAGTCCTGCCCACCTTCAAGTTTCAGTCAAAACCTGATACTCATGGCCTGAAGCAATCACTCCCTTCTCTATGCTGGTCTATGAGAGAAGTCATGATATTTCATACCACTTGTGTTAGTCTATAAGAAATACCACAACAAAGTACCCCAGAAACAACATAAATTTATTTTCTCAGAGTTCTGGAGGCTGGAAGTCGGAGACCAAGGTGCTGGCAATGTTGGTTTCTCCTGAGCCTCTCTCCTTGTAGCTGGCTGTCTTCTCCCTGTGTTTTCACGCAGCCTTCCTTCTGTATTTGTCTATATCCTAATCCTCTCTTCCTATAAGGACACTAGACATATTGGATTAAGACTCACCCTAATAACCTCATTTTACTTAATTACTTTTTTAAAGACTTTCTTTTTAAATACAGTCACATTCTGAGGTACTGAGGGTTAGGACTTCAACATGAATTTCAGGGAGGGTATAGTTCAGCTCTAACACCAATCTTAAGGAATATATAAAATTCTGCTTTGGAGTCCAATTATTTGCATATATCTCTTGTCTCCCTGTTTGGATTATGAACAGCTGTGTTTTATTCATAATTGTACATAACTCATAGACCCTAAAATGGTACTTTGACTATAGTTAAGCAATATGATATTGCAAACAAATAAATTAAATAGAAGTATCCATGATAGCTCCTTGGTTACCCACCCTTCTTCACACTTAGCAGTTCCCAGCAGCATCCTTTGTTACCATGGAGGCTCATGTCTGGCTGGAGCCATTTATAGAGGTTGAAATATCCTCACCTGTGTTTACATATCATTACTTTACATGTTCCATTGCTGAAAAGACTTATAGGGATCAAATGTTTTATACTAACAAGACAGCTTTATTACAGGCAAAGGAGACAGTATAGCAATAGTAGAGGGGGGATATGTGTTCACCCGGATCTCAATATTTCAAGCACAGGGCTTTTTGTCCTGGCATTACTGGATCCTACAGATCACACTTTGTCTCCAGGTCTGGAACCACTACTGTGTGTTCCCCAAGCACCTCAGTACAAGGAACCCCAAAGTCAACCCATGGTGAAGTCTCCTTTAGTGAGCTGGTCATGTAGACACAGTCTTGCTATGTGGCCAGTCTTAACCATCAGACATCACAACCCTCAGATTCCACCAACACTAGGTACAAATCATAAATCCAATTATATTATTCATCAATGTTGACAGGCTGATGCATTTTGTCATGAGCCAACTCACAGATCCATGACTACAGAACCCCATTTATCTTTAATTAAATAGCATTGGCCAAGCATCAGTAGCTTTGAAGAGACACATATGGTCAAACCAGACCAACTAAAATTAACCCATGCTATGCACCACCTAAGGAATCACCTCTTGCTGTAACCTCTTCTCTTCCTCACCTAAAATTATCTGTCCCATTTGCTAAGCCCATACAGCTTTGCTGTGCTGGCAAAAGGTCTTAATCCATGTGATTGGGCATATTTGTGTAAGTGAGCACATATTAACATGCCTTGCACAGATTAGATTCTTTTTTGTTTAACTGCATTTTAGGTTTTGGGGTACATGTGAAGAACATGCAAGATAGTTGCATAGGTACACACGTGGCAGTGTGATTTGCTGCCTTCCTCCCCTTCACTTATACCTTGCATTTCTCCCCATGCTATCTCTCCCCAATGCCCCACCCCCCACTGTCCCTCCCCTATTCCCCCCAACAGACCCCAATGTGTAGTGCTCCCCTCCCTGTGTCCATGTGATCTCATTGTTCAACACCCACCTATGAGTGATAACATGCAGTATTTCATTTTCTGTTCTTGTGTCAGTTTGCTGAGGATGATGGTCCCCAGATTCATCCATGTCCCTACAAAGGACACAAACTCATTGTTTTTATGGCTGCATAGTATTTGATGGTGAATATGTGCCACATTTTCCCTATCCAGTCTATCATTGATGGGCATTTGGATTGGTTCCAGGTCTTTGCTATTGCAAATAGTGCTGCAATGAACATTCATGTGCATATGTCATTATAGTAGAATGATTTATAATCCTCTGGATATATACCCAGTAATGGGATTGCTGGGTCAAATGGAATTTCTATTTCTAAGTCCTTGAGAAATCACCACACTGTCTTCCACGATGGTTGAACTAATTTACACTTCCAC